AGAGACCTATCCCCGACCCGAAGGCACAGAGAGACAGCCCTCTCGTTCACCGGGGTAAACTGCGGTGTTAATGCACCGAGCTGTGGGGCCACCAATAGCCCCACCCCAGCCCGGCGTCGCTCACCCGCCGCAACTCCAGAGTAAAAGAGCGTCCAGCCCCTCTCCAGGAAATTGGTTCCAGAACCCAAGCCATGTGTTGAGGTGAGCCCGACTATATCTAGTTGATACCTCTCAACCTCACACACAAGCTCAGGCTCCTTCCCCACCAGAGACGTGACATTCCATGTCCCGAAAGCCAGTTTTGTCAGCCGGGGATCGGACCGCCAGGGCCTCCCTTGGCCGCCACCCGATCCACAAAGCACCGAACCCCTGACATTCCCCCTGCGGGTGGTGGGCCCACCTGGGGACAGTCCCGCGTGCCTCTTTCGGGCTGTGCGCTCACCAACGGGCCCTTCCCCCAGGCCTGGCGAGGGAAACGGGACTTGGTTTTTTAATTTTTTCATAGGGTTCTTTTGGATTGCTGTTTGTCTGGCCCCTCCCCTGGGACCTTTTTGCCTTGGGAGACCCTACCAGGGTTTTTGCCCCCGACAACATAGCCCCCAGGTTCACTGAGGCGCGCAAACCCCTCCATCACGATAAGGTGGCAATCCACCTTATTATTAATATTATTAATATTAAAATAATTAAGATTAAAATAATTAATACGAAATCTTTGTTTTTAAATGTATTTTATTATATAATAATATAATTACTGTTATTGTCTAAATGTATTTGTACTGTCTATATACAGTATATATGTATTCAGCTAGTGTAAACATGCAGGATGCAATCATAGCAAAAGAGAGGCTGAGACTGAAGCTATACCCTTTGTTCCGCTGAGAGACGTGCCGCCTGACTCATTTCCCTGCGTGTACAAGTTATCTTAGATCAGCATTCACGGTTTGACTTCTGAGATTCAGATCGAGTTCCAACTAATGAGTTCGAGAACTGAGGTACCACTGTATATACGATTAACTTCAGCAAAGTCAAATGGCTTTCAGAGAGCAACACAGAGTGCATACTGCAATGAAAAATGTTCAGTGACACTGGCTGAAGTGCATGGATGTCTCACCTCTACCCAGTCGGTGCCGGCAAAAAACAAATCGAGGTAAGAATTCGCGACAGCGTATAAAACCTGCAAAGTTGTTAAGGAATGCCTGTTGTAAATTAATTGTACTAATATACCACAGGCCTGGACCCAAACTGTCAGCCTGCAGGAACCAGCACCAGTGCAATGAGAACACTTTAAGCTGTGTGAGGAAAGCAAAGACTTGTCTACTAGACAGTCTGTGTGAGCCTGAAGAGCCAATATGCTGATATGAGCTCCAGTGATCTGAAGTCTTGGCCTGATGCACAACACTCTGAAGGTACTGTATATAGTTTGCAGTCTGTCAGCATTTAAATAATCTACACATTTCTCTGAATCATGTACTGTAACTAAACGTGTATGGCATTACTTGTGTATTTTTCTTCAGTTTGGGGAAGCAGAAGTACATGAACTAAACATTTCAAACAAGTCCTTCAGTCCTCAGGAGTAACAACCGATCTCATCCCAGACCAGTGGACCATTCTGAAAAACAGATTGTACCAAAAACATGACAGTCTCCACTCCACAACATGGCCTGAGATAAACTGAATGCTACAACACCTGTGCCCTGATGTGCTCAGCTTGGTGGACCTTGTCCTCTCTCTTCCAACCTCCACTGCTGACTGCGAGAGGGGATTTAATGGGATGAAGCTTGTTAAAAGTGACTGGAGGTCTAGTCTTTCTGTAGCTGCCCTCTCTGACCTCGTGATGGTCCATCTGTCAACCCCCTCAATTGAGGGCTTTGACCCCACCCCTGCCATCCAGCTCTGGCACCAGGACAACATAAGACCTACAGCCTGTCCTGAGCCGCAGTGAGGATGTATGTTCAGCTAGTCTATGCACATCAGGAAATGTATTAAAAAGAGTTAAATTAGGTGATTGACCAGAATCAAAGAAATGTGCACTTTGGAGAGTGGGGTCAGGCATTCCCAGGGGGCTTTAGGGCCTTTGCTCAAAGAGCCAACAGTGTAGTCACTCTACTGACTCTGGGATTTGAACCAGCAACCTGCTGTCTGAGGGCACAGAATCCTAACCTTCTAAGCCAGGGCGCCTCCAGCACCATGTTTTTTGTACAGATATCCGATAGCTGGGATGAGGATCCATAGATACAGGCTGTAGAGTAAAATTTACTCTATTATTACTCTATTATTAGTTAATGACAGGTCTGCATATTGAAGTGCAGGTGAGCAGATTTCAGACAGC